CTTAATGTCATGACAGTGACTAGCATTGAAAGGCTTTACCAAGAGAAATAGGAAATTTGTTGTAACTTAGATCTTGTAAGTAATAAAAAAAAAATCTGCAAAGGCCTGCTCAGAGGCAAACATAAACTAGTGTTCACTCACAGAAAAGGAAAAACCTGATGCTTTTCACTACAGAAACTATGTGGCAAAAGCCTTGATATTTACAAGCTACTAGCATGTATTATACAAAAGATCAAGGCTGTCTTGTTGCTCATCTTGGATTAATTAAATAATCAATAATTCTATTACTTTAATCATATTCCCTAACTTCCACTCTGCCTGTGGTCACCTCCCACTCAAATTTGCAATATTGATGATACTTAGATGCTAAAGAAAATAGAATCAGAATTAATATGCACTAAGAGGCTTTAAACTGTAGGCCTTATCCAAGAGATAATGGATATGTTTGAAAAGTGCCTGAAGGCCATGTACAAAAGAATTGATCTTACCTCATCTGAGTCATCTAAAACTTAGTCAGCTGATCTAAGCAAGTCTAAGTTCCTTGTATGGTCAACAGAAAGAAGTCCCCTCTAGAGGAAGATCTGAGCTTGCTGCAAACCAGTTCTTTCAGTTAGGTGAGCTTTCTTCCAGATCAGTTCCCAAATTCATCTCCCCGCCTTGCTGACAGGAGTACTAGTACCAGCACAAGGGCTCAAGGGGAGGTGAGCACCAGCAGCAAAGGCTAGTGCGAAGAGGAAGGAACATCCCTCTTGGTGATAGCCCACATTCTCGTCACATATAACTCAGTTATAGCCCCAGATATAGCTGTCTAAAGGGAGATATGAGCTGGAAGTGGCTGAGCCATGTAAGCATGACACAGATTCTGGAACAGCTATGCCAAACAGCTCTGTGTGCAGCACAGCACCGTGCTGAAGCCTCTATTCTGCTTGCAGGCTTCATGCCAGTGTTCCTGCAGAGTGTTGCCCTGTGTCATGTAAACATGTCTGCTGGGTATTCATGGTACGGTGCTACTCAGAGTGGTACGGATAAATGTAAAGTTTCACTGAAAGCTATAAGCATTTTGGGGCAGCTGAGGTCTTTTCTGTGCTCTGCTGGATGCTGAGCACACTTCAGCTGCTCCTTGAGTTTAAATAAGGTAAACCTGACTGTTTAAAACAGGTCAATGGCTTAACTTCTCTCTCCCAGCCAAAGAAGTGATTCTTTCTAAGATAAAGAAAGCTTCCTTTGCTGCTACAGCTCTCTGAGCAGTTAAATACACGTGGCCAAACTCAGTCCTCGTAAAACCCAATTGACTTCATTCAAAAAACTCCTATAAAGATGACTGATGTCACTAGAGTCCCACCAGGGATGAATTTGGCCCATGCCATTCCTCCTGTTTAGTCATCAGACAGGAATGTAGAGAAGAAATGCATGCTGGGCTCCAGGACTCCATCTCTCAATAGATTTGCCAGAGATGAAAAAGAATTACACATGAATACAAACTTGCCTTGCACACTCTACTAGATCTCCCAGATCAGCCACAGCTCTCAGCTGCCCAGGTATTAATTTGAATAGCTCATTTCACTACAGTTGAACTGAGCAGGATTCACTGTATCCAGCAATATATACTTCAGTTTATGCACAAGTGCTCCAGTCCTCTTGGGAGCAAAAGCAGCAGCATTATTCCCATTTTACAGATGAAGAAACCAAAATATGGAGCTGGTGTGATTTGCTTCACATGGTGACAGAGATAGAGGAGGTACTGACACTCAAGTACATATGGCTTCCAGCCAGGTAAGCCATGTATTCCTGTGATATATCTTCATAATTTCCCTCTCCCTTCCCCATCTTGCTTCTCCCTGCCCCCAGCCACATCAGCATTGTCTGTAGCACGCAACTGGGAAGCTGGGATTAATTCATCCCCAGGGAAACTGGGATTAATATACTACTCATGTGGATCCTTTAAAAAACAAATGATTTGTGGTCCCCTCTTCAGAGGCACATGTAGTCCACAGCTGAGAAGTAACCATTTGCTGTTCCAGAGCACAATCTGAGGGAGGCTTTTATTCTGCTTCCTGAATGTTCACTGAAGATCTCATCTGACAGGACTTGTTCCTGCATCCAGCCAGCCTGAGCAGGCTGTACAGAATCAGGCTCTTGTAGAGCACTAACAGTTTATGGGCAGAAAAAGAATGACTGGAATGCAAAGGAAAAAAAAAAAAAAGAGAGAGAGAGAGATGTGCCAAGATATCTTTACATTTTCTCCTGTAACTGGAAATGACTTAAAAAAAAAAGACTTTAAAAAAAAAGTGTTTCCCTTTTAAATCATTTTAGAAATAGACAACTGGAGTCAGGTGCCCTGGTTTTTACTCTTGCAAACTCCCATTCAGTGATATTTTTATGATGAAAATGCAAAATTTAAAGCAACTGTGAAAACAGAATCAACTCTCAATTGGCAGACAGGGGCCTAAGTAAGTTTTATTCACTGCATGAATGTCAGATTATAAAACATATGCAAAGAGAGAAGAGAAAAGAAAAAGAAAGAAAGGGGAGGTAATTAATCATTTAAATTATTTGCAATCCTGATTCAAAAGGCATATTTCCCATCTAGTTGCCTTCATTTATTTGGGGGGTTAATACGACTTATCTCCTCTGACTGTCATAATTTCATCTCTTTGCTTTCCTTGGAATCACCGCACTGACACTGCCTAGCAAAATCAAAAACACTGGAGAGAACAGGGGAACTGTTCACCAGTGCGGCTGACAGCACGACCAGAGAGACACCTTTTGTTTGCACTGGGAGTAAAGTGGCCTTCTGAGGAGAGGAAATACACATACTTATACATACAGTATAAACGATGTTAAGAGGCTGTGTGTGCCCTCCGTGGTCAGTATTCCCATGTAATTTTAACACATCTGTAACTCTGATTGTGCCAATTCTGTTTTTTTGTTTTGTTGTTTTGCACTTAAAGATATATGTTCAAGGAAATTCTTGACAGGTAGATCACCAGGCTTCAGCCATAGAAATGAAACACATTTCATGCCCAGCTGGGAGGAAAGTTTTCTCCACCTTTATGACCCCATGGTTATAATAGTTCCCAGGAATCAGAGACCGATGCGTTCTCTTACCTCGCCACGGGTGTTTCGTTATCGTGGTGATAAGAAGACGGTGAAGCGACCGTGGGAACTCCTCAGGGGAGTGACCCCCCCCCTCTACACCCCCCACTTTGGATCCACCTCATAGTAACGACCCTTAAAAATGACTGGCTCCAAGAGACATAGTCTTTCACCTCCCTCTTCCACGACCGGACTCCGCGAGCATCCCTGTTCGCCTGCTCTGCCGTGAACGACGCGAGGAGACGGAAGGGGAGGTTCCCCTGGGATTTTCTCTCTGCGGCTCCCTTTATAAGAAAAGCAATGCGCGGAGGGAGCCACCCGCCCCTTGGGCTGGCAGCAAGCCCCGTGTCAGCGCCGGGCTG